CTTCCCGGCTTCAATATCGTCCATGGCTTCTCAATGTCACCCATGCAAGGCTATCCATTTCTTCAAGATCATTCTCGAATATTCTCTTCAAGAAGGAAAGCTTGTAAGCATTTTTCTTAATCTATCCCTATATTGTTCTTCCAGGTTTGTGCTTCGGACCCTTGTTTCGGGTAACAGAACACCAACTTATTTCGATCTCTGATGGAAGTAATAACTAACAATTTCAGTCTTCTTGCTGGGAATACTGTATAAAACCATTTGACTGGTTGTTGAGCTTCATGGTGTGTGTATATATGTATACTGTAATACTAACAACAGATTCTTTTCAGAAAGTGCCAGACAATTTTATACAAAAATATGGAGGTGGCATGAAAAATCCCGTTTGTCTGAGGCCTCCAGATGGGACTCAATGGGAAATACATTGGGCAAAATATGAAAATGGTGAGGTTTGGTTTGAGAAGGGTTGGCATGAAGTTGTCAGATACTACTCTTTAGATCACGGCCATTTGGTGGTGTTCAAATATGAGGGAACTGGAACTTGTTACTTTAATGTGAACATTTTTGACAAGAGTGCATTAGAATAGACTACCCTCTTCGTAGAAACATCCAACAAAATTAATGATGATTCTGATTCAGTTGAAATCTTGCATGAGAAGCCTCCTCTGCCTAAAGTAATGAGCCGAAAACCGCCATTATCATCTTCTATTCGCCCTTGCAAGAAAATTAGAGCTGAAGAAGCTGAAAGGACGTCTAATCAGAAAAAAATGCACTCAGATGGGAATAAGCTATTGTCCATGAAAGCAGAACCGAATCTTATCAAGCTTGAATCAGAAGGTAGCTCCTGTTTTATTCTTGTCGTCTATCATTATGATGTCATATTTACTATGATCTATCAGGGACAACACTTGAAGGAGCTATAACGTGTTCTCTCTTTATAGCAAACATGAAAAATTGTCTGTGAGTTTTGTCGTTAGTCTTGTCCTTAGACTCATGCTTACGTTTCTGCAGAAACCGCGGGTAGGAGCAATTTTTCCACTAAAAAAAGTCCAAAATCCTTGGCTATTAAAAAACAAAAGGAGAAACCACTGACTTGGGATGAGAAGGACAGAGCTTTACAGAGAGTCAACACTTTCACCGCCAAAAATCCCTATTTCAAAATTGTCATGCAACCAGCATATGTCAAGAGCTCTTTGGTAAGTTTCTAGAGAAATGCAAATGAAATGCATTGAATCTAGCTTTCCCACAATTTTCTGCTAAAAGAAAGAAGGAAAAGTTGAGTTGTTAGTTGCTAACCTAATTAAAAAAATTGCAGAATGTACCGGCAAATTTTGTGAATCAGTATTTGAAGCAGAAGAAAGAAGGAGCAGTTCTTCTGCGGGTTTCAGATGGTAGAACTTGGCGTGTGAAGTGCAATAGGGAAGAAGGAAAGCAGTACAAGTTCCGCCTCAATAGAGGGTGGCCCTGTTTTGCAAAAGACAATAACTTAGAAGTGGGTGATGTGTGTGTTTTTGAACTCACGAACACCATTAACATCTCCTTCCTAGTTCATGTTTTTGGAAATTCTGGGAATCCATATGACTGAAAATACCAAGGTATGACAACGTTCTTCCCCTATGAGATTCTGTTCTAATGATTCTGGCTAGTACACATGTAACGTCATGCAGATTGTAACATGTTACTTCCTCAAGCTACATACTGAGGAGGAGGGAGATTCTGGTCTGACGATACAACTGGGGAAGGACAAGACTATGGCCTGTGAAGTTTCATTTGTCAGCTTTATGTGAACAATTTACATGGCAAGTTCTCTGCAAGTAAAGACAATGAACTTGCTTTTTGTTTGTATAGGTTATTTCATGGCGAGTTCTGTGCAAGTAAACTTTTGTTGATGATGATTGTGAAACTGAGGACCTGGATCATGTTTTAGAAAATGTTCACTAGCTCAATCCATTTAGCAGCTTATTCTCCCTAATGCCTTTTGTCCTGACTTCTTTAACCTGCCTTATAAACGATGAATGATAGCTAATCTTTATGGACATCATAGAAGCCAAAGTTGGGGTACTTTGTTTCGTTGGAAATTATGGGAGGCAGGAAATACGCCTCCAGGATTCGCGAACGAGGATTTGTTAGCCATAGTCCAACATCCACAGTTCAAATACAATAAACATCCGTTCGTTATGGACAATTGTATAATATATACTGCGTTCGTTTAACTAATTTGATTAGATTAAAGAAGTTAGGTAAGCTAATTAATTATAAAAAAGGTGACACGTTTTTTCTAAAACACCATAATTATCTTTCTTAATACCCCTTCTTCTCCCTTTTCTATTTGATTATGGTTGAGGGAGTATTCATTGTGATAATTTAAAAAAAAATGTTAAATATGATAAATGGGTCTTATATTTAGGATCAAAACTAACTTAACAATTAGGTCTTATATTAAGAATCGGAAGAGTGTATATATATATATATATATTTATGAAAAATGATCGAGTTGAGTCGGTGAGAATCTAAGATTTTTTTCGCAAATTCTCGATCCGTTTAGAAAGTTGGAAGTGTTCATAGTAATTTTTTGAAAGAATCATACTATAAAAAATTATATGTTGATTTTATAAATAACAAAATTGAGTATTTTATTATTTTATTTAAACATATTGAAGACCTGAGGCTATTATAGCCATTTAATATTTGATATTTTTTATTTTTATATTGTTTATTATTTAGTTTTTGGCAAAAATATTAATTTTACATTATTTTTTTAAATATAAATTTATGTTTTATTAACGTGAAACACCGTTAAAGTTGGAATCCAATAATATGAAAATGGCTAAAGTATACTCTTAGTCTTTTAATTTTATATAAGGTTTTATTTTGATCCTTTAACTTTAAAAAGTAAATTTTTAATCATCCAACCCTAAAACTGTTAACAAAAAATGATAATATTGAACTCCTAAATGTTGATAAAATATTACTAAGTGTTGACATATTAGGTTTAATATTCAAAACAACTATGATTGTTATAAAAAATTATTATTTAAGACTAATAATTTTAGAGTTAAAGAACTAAAAGTATAGTTTTTAAAATTAAAAAATTAAAATAAAATTTTGTATAAAATTAAAAGATTAAAAGCATACTTTAACGTATGAAAATTAATTTTCATGAGTGAAGTTAAAGTAATATAAATATAAATATCTAAATCATTAGATTTATTCTACTTTTATTTTTTTGCTTGAAATCTCCAATATTCCCAGTTCCTAGGATCCAAACAGGAAGCGTCTGTCCTTGCAAGCACTCGATCCGCACTCAAGGACTCCGTTCGCCGCCGGTGGGCACCGTCCCGTGTTTTGGCCGTGCTTTTGCTGCGGGTAACACTCCCCCCCCTCTTCCTTTTTGTGTTAATTTGTGTTTTTTCTCATTCGTAGTCGAGGTTTGAACAAAGGGGTAGCGAAACTGAGGCCGTCGAAGAAGGATGCAAATAGGGGAGATACAGGGGATGTAAATCATTGTAAAAGGAAGCTGAGTGGGAGATAGAATCATGCGATGGGGAATTAGGTTTCGAAGTATTAATGGGGACCAATGAATCGGGACTGTGGTTCGTAGATGTTATGTGTTAGGTTTGTTAGGTTTTTGTAATTAGGGACTGTGAACAACATAAATGGAGAAGAATGGTTTATTGATGATTGATTTTTTCTATAATAGCAGCAGGGATTTAATCGTATGTTTTAAGATATTGCTGTCTGTCATCCAGTTTTTATGCTCTCTCTATATATACTAATGTATTTAGAACATTTTCTATTTGTCTTAAAAAACTATTAATGGAAATGTGGTTTGAAAGGGAGGAATAGCTTGTGTAATGGAGTTTTATAGTCATATTTGTTGATTGTTAATTTTTTTCTTTTATATGAAGTTTCTCAAGGCAGGCATATTGCAAAGCATGAATCTGATTGATATACTCCTTTGTTGTATGGTGAATGAGTTCAAATGGTTTCAATTAGGTTTCTGGATGTGTAGGCTACTGTAATTGATTCAGTCAACGAGGCTTTCTATTGCTTAGCTTAATTGTTGGAAGCATTAAGAATATCCATTTGCTGTTTTATGAATTACACAAGCAGATTCACACTATTACGATTTGGTTGATCAGGGTTTTGGAAATTCATGACAATTTGGAAGGAGTCCTTATACTTTTGCTAATGTAGAATTGGTGTAAAACTATGATGACTAAGAGTAATTAAACCAAAATGAAATTTTGTATCCTTTATTTCTTTTGCTGTGGTTAATATCAAAAATTGCATCTCTATACTTGAGCTTTGATGCCATCCTTAACTCTTGAACATTTTCATTTCACAGAAATTCGGTCAACAGCCTTGCCATAATGGCTGCAATGTTAGCTCGGAAATCACTTCTTGCTCTTCGCTCTCGACAATTGGTGAGATAAATAATTGTGTCCTAATTCAAGAAGAATTGCCTGTCATCGTGCACTCATCTTCTTTATAACCTAGCTGAAAATCAGCTTATTATTATTTCTAAAATTAAAACTATAATATTTTACACATTTTGTGGTTGTTAGAAAATTTTTTATTTCCAAATCACTCACCCCCCTCTCCAAAAAAAAAAAACTGCAAGTGCACTTACACTCACATGGAAGGAACGTTTGTGATGGCAAAAATCATTTGCTTCTTTACTTTCATTGAGCCCAAAGTATGGGCAAATTTCTTGCTTCTTCTTTTGGGTTCTAATCCCTTTATATGGCCATTCTGACTTAATGAATCATTGTTATGGTTGATGCTTCTAAATATATGAATTGTTGTTCTTGTAGGCTACTAATATTTAACATGCATTCATCATTTTTATTCTTCATGTTTAGGCTGTGGCAGGTCAAGGGTTGCAAGGTCCCCAAAATTATGGCTTGCAATTAAGTGCTCATTCATACTCTACCAAAAAAGGTTTGTCATTATCCTATTCATGCATGTGCAAATGATTTATGCATTCTCATAGAAACAGTTTTTCATTGTGATTGTCAGTTTACATCTGCTACTCTTGTGTAAATTTGCAAACACTGCGTGATCCATAAACTTAACCTTCTGGTGCAAAAATTGCAGATGATGAAGAAAGAGAGCAACTTGCGAAGGAAATATCCAAGGATTGGAGTTCTAGTAATTATTTGAAAGCCCTGTGTTCTCAGTTTTAGTTTTCTTTTTTTTACTGTCACATAAGTGAATGATTGTTGACGTCAATGGCAGTCTTTGAACGCAGCATCAACACACTATTTCTCACTGAAATGGTTCGAGGTTTAAGTCTGACACTGAAATACTTCTTTGAGAAAAAAGTTACTGTAAGTGTCTTCTAAAGTCATTCTCTGTCAAAGATGTTGTGTGGGATGTAATTACAATCATAATTTCATAATGCAGATAAATTATCCATTCGAGAAGGGCCCATTGAGCCCTCGTTTCCGTGGTGAACATGCACTCCGACGATATCCTTCTGGAGAGGAACGATGCATTGCTTGCAAGCTCTGTGAAGCTGTAAGCTTTTGAAAATTTAGAGCAATAATTTTGAGTTTGACAATGGTCCTTTGAAGTGCATATCAGCAAAATAGCATATATTGTATGACTGTTTTCTTCCCTGCTTTTTCTTTAAAACTGGACCACACGGATATGATTGCTATGTAGTGCATGGTTATTTTGTTGATGCTGTTAAAAAGAGATAAAGGCTTGTAAAGGAAAGTCTGGTCAACAAGGGTCTTGATCAAACAAGACCTGAGGTCTGTACTATCCAAAAGAATAAGTCACTAGGTCTCACATGGTGTCTCTGGAAATCTTTGCTGTTTGTTATATATTGACGACAAGTCTGTACATTTTGTCAAAAAGTTTAAGTGCTTATTTTATCGAATATGTATATTCTTCTATAACATGATATTAACTTTAATTTAATGTGTCTTTCCTTCAAGTCTGTCTTTAATAGTATATGGTACTATTGTATCCTTACTCCTTTATACTGGCTTGGCTGCTGTAAAATCTTTGTATAACTTACAGAATGTAATTTTATCAGATATGTCCGGCACAAGCAATCACAATTGAAGCTGAGGAGAGAGAAGATGGCAGCCGTAGGACAACAAGGTGAAAGACCTTCCCTGCCTCCCCCACCCCTCCCAAACACACGCACACACACACACACACCACCAGGGGAAAAACAGAAAGAAAGAAACCACCCCTCCTCTCCCTCTAGCCCTTTTTCTGCCCTCTCTGAATTGTCAAGTTTTTCAGGTATGATATTGACATGACGAAGTGCATCTACTGCGGATTTTGTCAAGAGGCATGCCCCGTTGATGCCATTGTTGAAGGGCCAAACTTTGAATTTGCTACGGAAACTCACGAGGTTTCTTCACCCCTTTCATTCTGATTTTTCTAACTGCTGTCTGATAGCATACTGCATGGGATTATTTTTCTTTCTTCCCTCATTCATTATTTTTTCATGTTTAACTATTTATAGGAACTTCTATATGACAAAGAGAAGCTACTTGAGAACGGGGACCGATGGGAAACTGAGATTGCAGAGAACCTGAGATCTGAAAGCCTGTATCGCTGATTGCTCTGTTGTGTTGTTCCTTTAATGATCGTTCCATATTAACTAAAAAGTATTGAGAAATAAAGGATCTGGGGATGGTCTGGAAAACTTACATGTATTCTGTGTTGCTGCAGTAGCTTGTTATTGAATTAGATCTGCCGTTCCGTTGCTAGTTTATGTACAATTGTTCCGAGACGGACCTCTATGAAATTTTGAACAGGCGATAAGATTTCCCTTATGCAGTTGGGAATTAAGAAATCTAATAAACCGATGTAGCCACTGATTGCTCAAGTTTCATTGATCCCTGCAAGCACTACCACTCAGGATGTGTAAGAGCACTTACTATTACTAGCCATTTGCTTTGTTATTGCCGTTGTATGCCGACCATTGTGCTGCTCGATATGCATGGTAAGTTATAGTCTCATAGAGAAGGACAAGGCATTGAGTTAAGATGAGTAAGTTTAGAGATGGTC